AAAAAAAAAAAAAAAAAAAAATCTGGACCGAAGACAATAATATTTAATTATTGTAGGCCTGGTTAAAGCTACAGCCCGTAAGAACTGCACGCGCTTTCTTTGCACTAATGTTTTGGTTCAGGTAGGAATTGGGGCATTTTGGCCAGAACAGATGTAGGGTTACAACGACATAATTAGGGTGCTGCAGTACGGACTTCGGTGCGCGTCAAGATTACCATAAACTTGTTTGGCCCTTCCAATTGGATTACTGAACTTCGACTCTCCCAAATTTCGTCTGTATTTCAACGAAGACAGCCTGTTTATTTGGAACCCGATAATTTTTGAAAAAAATAAATGGCCAAGGCACGGGCTGCACGTGCAAAAATGCGTTTTTTGTATAGCTCCCGCAGATTTTTGTCGATGACGGCACTGGTTTTTCCGGCAAATGCTTCTAGCAAAAAGAATTTCAGACAGGCCGTCAGGACTGCTAGAAAACATCCCTTCAAAATTCCAGTCTTCTAGCTTCTCAGATTCCCGAGTTAGCGACTTGCCCGAAAAAAACTTACGTGGGTACCACGCTTACCCGGGGGTTGGGTTTGAGTTCATTAATACCCACTTGGACGGGGAACATCCTCTTAAGATTTCAGCCTTCTAGCTTCTCAGATCCCCGAGTTAGCGACTTACCTAAAAAAATTTTGGCGGGCCCGTATGTGGGTACCACGTTTACTTGAGGGCTGGTTTTAAGCTCATTAATACCCACTTGGACGGAGAACATCCCCGTAAAATTTCAGCCTTCCAGCATTTCTGGTCTCCGAGTTAGGAGCTTACCCGTAAAAAATTTTAGTGGGCTCGTACGTGCGTACCACGCGGGTAAGAGCGCCCATTTTGGGAATGGTGGCCGGTACATGCATGTAGATTTAGTTCCCAAAATTTCAGCCCCGTAGCTTTCGTAGGTCTCGAGATGAAAAATTAGCACAGACGAACACACAGATACACACACACAGACAACCCCTCGTCAATATGCGTTTTCTGCATTGCACAGCTGCAAGAAACGCATAAAAACAAGAAATCCACTCGACGACAAATTGCAATAAAGGTTTTTTTTTATTAAATTGGGAATGTTGTGGCTTATTTTTCAATAAAAACTAGTTTTGTTTGACAACACCAGAGCCTTTCCACAATAAGAAATGT